ATCCTCATTGCTTCTGAATCTGACGACGATGGCTACGCTCTTCGCGTCCCTGGCGATACCGAGTCGGTGACAGTGACTCAAGCTGTTTACAGTGTTGATATCATCCTCAGCAGAGGTGCTGAAGGTAATCTACTCGACTGAATATTCGTGAATAGCCGCATGTGTGCGGTTCGACTTCGAACTTCAGTTGAGGGTAATCAGCCCCATATAAGGGCTAGGTGTCTTTTTATCGTCTTCATTTATGCTCCTACTGACTGCAGTTCAGAGACTACCAACCATGATTCCTACTACCATCTTTCATCTCTTCTCCGCATGTCCAAGAATACTGACATCGTGATTGTTGCTGCTGACTTGAATCCCTAAATGCGGGGTCTTTCAGATCCTGAACAGCATCAGGAAAGGCGCTTGGGAGTCGATGCACGCCGAACAGACAATGACGATCGTTTCCTGCAACTGTGCGCCGATCACAATTTTTATACTAGCATTCGGATTCATTCATCTGCTTGTTAATTTTTGTTCCATTTTGATTAGTCTAACACATTTCCTTCTTGCTTCTATTTTCTCTACATTCTACTCATATCCAAACCAGCTGTTCTACTGTTGTTATTTGCTATTATTCTACAGTGTGAGTCGTGGCAACTTTATCCACCGCACTTCGGTGCTTGAAACATAGTTGTTTAACTGATCTGAACTGAACAACTAATTCACAGGCGCTAATACAGCTGTCCAGACACTCGAATTTCCGGACGAATTATCATCACAATCATCGATACACGTTGACTGAGGTTGAGAAACACACCTCAGCTAATGTGCCATAGTACAAAAAGATATACTAAAAAGTTACACTACAAAGATTTCGAAAAGCAAGTAATATAATGTTAAGTGTTATGCATTTGGAATGAGAACGTAATTGTAGTGGGATAAACAAATAAACTCACAACACAAACGCCATTGGGACCGGTTTCCATTCCTAATAGCAGGTGTGTCTAGCCAAACGTGTTCATCGTCTTTGGGTTCCCAGCCAGGGAGCTGGGATGCACCAACCGACTCCAGCTTCATGGTGAGGGTTTTCATTTCTCTCGACCAAGTCATCGCTTGGCCTCCCTTTCTAGCTAATCAACACCAAGGGTTAGCGCAGGGGTGGGTCCCTGCCAATCTAGGAGAAGGACCTTGCATTTCAATAGTGCAAAGCATAGCTCAAAACCGCTGACAGCCAGTGCTAAACTGCCCAGTGCTGCTTGGCACTTTTGCGAGCTGTAACAGCTTATAACAACGTCATCGGCGTACTCGAAGTCAAGAAGTCGCTCACCCGGAAGCAGTTCCACATTTTGTAAGTCGTGTTTTCTTTGGTACAAACAGTATGGTGTACCTAGACGAGAACTGCCTCTTTCAGTGTCCAGCTCCCACATAGGAAGCGCCATCCCTTTGACCGTCTTCTGACGACGAACTCAAATTGCACAGATACCTTAGACCATTTGTTCCGATTTTTCCTGTAATCGGTCTAACCACTTCGTATCTCTTTGGTCCTCCGTTTCAGTTGCTGTATTATTTTAACCTACCCAAAACACTAACCCGGAGCTCAGCTCCCTCTCAGGAATTATGGTGTCCCAGCGAAGTTCTTGGAGTTGCTTTTTGTAACTGGCGCAGCACGACGTATCGACCGTCTACCGTGGAAAGCACCGCGCTTAGTCCTGTTATGCTTGATTCTGTTGATGACTGCCTGCCAGCAACGCGTGCTTGGTATTCAAACCCAGGAGATCCTAACATCAAGCGACTACTCAGTGCTGGTATCCAACATGTAATACTTCTATCATATTCCCATACGCTGGATCCAGCTTAAAACGGAGAATTGACTTTTGCGTGTAACTCCAGCTACCGCGGAATGCGTCTGTTCAAGCCCACTGATCCGTTTATACTTCTCGCGTTTCTGAAAGTAGGGTTAGTCAATCAGTCAATAACGGCAATACATCAGCTATTTGAACTGATACTTCGCTGACATGCAACCATGATGACCTATGGAATGCAGAATAGTAAGAGGGAGAGAAGGGCGACTTACCTGAAAACCTTAGTGCCCTAAACAAACGTTCAGTATCAAGGCGCCTATACTTTGTATTACTAACATATCATCACAAACATCTGGCTATCGTGCAAAGATAAGGCGACATCGGCGAGACAGCTGCCTTGCGGCGTTTATTGCCTCGCGTGATAATCAGCCATTCCTCCGCAGATAACTCAGAATCAAACACACTTTAAACAGGCAATACGACTAGGAGGCTGAAGCAGATGCGCCACTGGTGTCGGTTGTGAGCAATGTCTTGTAAAGTCTCGAGCCAAGAGCATAAGGCGATTCACGTGGACTCCAGGCCAGGAAGGTAAAACGGACAGACGGCACCCAGTTTGGTCGTCTGTGTCTTCATTTCACGCTGCCAAGTCAACTTTTGTATCTCTCGAACCTTGCGCCACCCTACATCTGGCCGACTAAACAAGACCTTCCTAGGTAAGCGATGACCAGGCATACGTAGTACGTGCCCAAGCCAACACAACTTATTCAGCGCTACCTGTTATTCTAAGCAACGAGCTTGGTTATCACTGCCTAATACTCGCCTATGCACATCATCGTTGCGAACATGCTGGTGCCACCCGACACCACCAATGCTCCTCAGACAACGATGATTGAAGACTTGAAGGCGCCTCAGATCTTCTGATCGAAGGGGCCAAGTATCATTCCCATAGAGCAGCACGGCAATCGCTGTGGCCGTGTAAACACGGCCTTTCAGACGGAGGGAAACTCCCTTCTGTCTCCAAAGATGCCGCAGGTTGAAGAAGTCAGTTCTGGCTTTTGCAATGCGTAAACTGCCTTAAGTTTCTATGCGCCCACCGTTGCTGATGCAACTGCCAAGGAAAGTGCATTAACCATCTCGAGTTCCTCGTTATCAACGGTCAAGTGGTCATCAAGTGGCTGGTGGTCCTGCAGTAACACTTGCACTTTGAAGGTGAGAATCGCATACCAAATAATGGGACCACTTTAGAAAGGCTCTTCAGGGTTGACTGCGCCGCCGCAACATAGTCGAAAAGCAAGACGATATTGTCTGCATAATCAAAATTAACTAGCTTTTCACCAAGCAGGACCTCGAGACCTACATCGTTAGATTCCGTGAGGGAACACGCGATGTTGGAGTCCACTACGAAAACGAGTAATTTGGACAACCCTGACGAACGCCACTTGTAGTTGGTAAGTTATCCGACAGGTCATTGTAGACCCTATAGTGTTCGAGTATAGAGCACGTGGGTTGTTCACATAGTTCGTGGGAACACCTGTCCGCAACAGTGCGACGACGAGCGGCTCGTAATCGCCTCCAAGTTAATCCTTACTTACATGAAGCAGCGCATGAAGCCTGCGGGTGACTCACTATTACTAAATTTCCTGAACATACAGTCCATAACCTCTAACACTGAGTATGCGTCCGTGTTGCTGGCGCACTTATCTTCCGTATTCGCAAATGACTAAGTGTATGCACCGAGTTCAACATGAATCACTCCTACCGGACTCGGTGGCTTGGAGTGCGGTGCTGAGGTGCATCAACTATTCCTCAACCTTGACGGCATCATGCCAGCCGATCTTTATCTGCTTGTGCTCAAGCCTTTATCACTTCTTATCGTGCCTTCCTTGAGTGATCTATTTAATAGGTCGCTATTCATAGTTTTATTTATAAGGAACTGATTCCAAAGGGCGATGGTCTTGTAAAGTGGACTTAGTTGAAAGACCTGGCATCCGCACGGCAATGTTTTGTGAGAAGTCACTCATACACCGCGAAAAATGAATGATTGTAAGCAATGAACCTTGAGAAACCTGTGGACGTTGTCCACGCCGATTTCAGCGACAGTGTCGTTGTGTAGTACGATGGGGTTTTCCTCCATAGATCGAGGGCATGAATTGTCGGTGGCACACTGCAGCAGTGGATCTGCGAACTTCGTGTTGAAGTGATATAGACTGTACCGGTCATCTACTCCACTGGTTTCCTTCGATCAGCTGTATATCCCAGTGCACAGTGATGAGGACTGTACACTATGTCATACCGTCGGGTACGAGTCAATTTCATCGTGATCCGCCGTATCTTGCATCTCGATGATTTCCACACATTAAGGCCTCTGCTTCACCCGTGCGCACTATGCATTACACGAAGATATCGGTACGAACTTGTAGCACGGGATCCAATGCAATTTATGCGGCGAGTGGTATGTCGTGTGTAGTCTGCTCCTACAAAGTGGAGACAAAATCACTGTCACAATTTAGAGAATTTATGGAGGCACACTTCACCAATGTCTTATTCAGTGAGCGTTCTGCGATGGTATCATATACTCGCAAATCGTTTGCCTATATGAGGCATATATTAGTTACAGTATCACGCGAGAACATGAGGAGCGATCTATTGACAAATGAATAGATGTTTTCAACGTTTTAATGAAATTTCGTTGAAGCTGCACAAGTTTCGTTTCCCATCACTCTACTGTATTCACTATTCGGTAAACCGTTGTATCACGCCGTGCCTGTGAGCAATTTTTAAGAATGCCCTGCCTAGTCATCTAATCTACGTCACAGAATAGTTTAACTGTGTGCCCGAGCCGCAATTGACTGATCGAAGATAGCACGGTGTACTTCATCTCTTTCACTTTGCAAGAGACGAAGGCACTTTCGCATCGGTAAAACCCTTGTGAACAACCGTCTTTATTCGTTTACATTAAATCGTCACTTATTTGAGGACTTTTTGTCCGCTCAGACTTTCCATTTTTAAGCATCCATACTTTCCGTAGCAGCACAGCACTTCAGTCTGCGAGATATATTCCTTCCGTTTAACTTTACTCTGTCACTTTCATTCTCTCTCATGTGACCATATATTCCAGCTGATGAAGCAAGCTTTTGCTAGCAAAAAGTCTGCCAGCTCGACGGTATATTCAGATTACACCCTCAAGCTCCTTTTCAGGCTAGTGAACACTTACTTATGGAGCTTGATTCCTTAAAAGCGGACGTGAGTTGCCCATCTGAAGCTGATGCTCTCTAATCTAGCTCACAGTCGCTTCTCAGACGCTTCAAAGTAAATCGGAAGCCTTACGAATCTTGAGCAAATCATTGGAAATATGTGAGGCTGAGCGGGATGAGTTCAAACACATGGCAGAACAGGTGATTTCGCACGCTTCGGTTACCTCATTTTTGGCGTTACGCTTATTTAGGTGATGAATCGATATCAGTTGTTACGGAAAACCCTCAGTCAGGGTATGCAGACAGAAATGTATTCTCTCAATGGACTCAGCAATTTGACAAACAAACAGGTTGGTTGCTAATATATTATTTTATTTTGCTGATTTTAGTTAGCTTCGCTGTTAGTTGAAAGCCAAGAAGCAAATAAAAGCTTGCAGAAGGAAATCGGAGAGCTGCGAACCAAACTCCGTGAATCTTTAGGGGACGCTGAAATTTTACGAGTACAATTGAAAGCATCTCGGCACAGTTCAAATGCACCCGACTGCGAACAACTGAAATCTGGCGAAAGGCAACATCTTGTGCTTCAAATGGAGCAGCTGGCCTCTAGAGCAAGTTTTTTTTAAAAATTCCCTTGTACTTATTTAATTTCTGCTTTAAGACCAAATGCTTGTTATCCTTATTGAAATAACCATTCTGTAGACTCATTGACTTTATTCCAATACTCCGCGGATATTACTATGTCGCATTACCTCGGACACGACTCCATTAGTCAGAGTAGCCGAAGCTTGTTTAAAAATCAATCACAGTCCAAATTGGGTTTGTATATGATGGTTTAAGCGCAGCGAGTTCACTTTAAGGCCCAGGACAAATTCGATCGAGCACTTTCTGCGATATGGGTCGTGCTTCGATGTTTGCTGTCAGCGCTGATGTTGCCTTGTTCTGGTCTCGTTCTTATTCACGTGCTGCGTTGCTAGTAGTGATTTTTAAACGTACAATGCGTAGGTCAACTAGAGAAAGTTTTGGATATCATTTCATCTCCATTGGTCATCTGTTTACGACACTGTTATTGTGCGACAAGGTGATGACTAAGAGCGAAGGAAATTCCCTCAACTCATTTTGACTGCAGAGGAACCGGTATCCCTTTGCGCTGGTTTTTATTTTCTTATTCTGCTGAACTGATTATCTGAACGATTTCTTTTGGTTCTTTCCTATAACATCAGACCGACATAGGTTACGGGTTATCGTCTATTTACTGACTTGGTCACGATGGGGTTGTGCTACAGTCTACGTGTCCGTTCTCAGAATCGGATAGCCTCCAACCATCTTCCGAGGCGCTCATACTACACTTCTCCATGCAATCTGTAATGGGGGATTAAGTGAGACCGATGGACTTTTTGAGATCACTCGCGGTTGACATTTAGTGTCGTTTTATCATCTGTTACGGCAGATGAAGCCACATCATTATAAATGAATCACGGGCAATGCTGGTCTTCAGCAAAGCAAAGATTCCCATTCCATTAATATGAATCAATATCAGAAATCAGTTCCGAGTGAAGAATTCTTTTCGGTAACTCTCATCGGACCCAAACGTCTACAAAACACTGATAGTGTGGGGTACTCGTGCTCCTGTGGTGCACAATACGTAAGTCGCACGACAAGACGCCCATCTCAGAGGATTCGTGAACACATCCTGGCATGGTTTTACAAAGGCGAAATGAGGTCTTCAGACAGCTCAGTTATGTCGCACCTCCTTGAATGTGGCCACAGCTTCAGAGAATGACTTCAAAGTCATTTATTCACTACCTGAACACTACACCCAAGGATTCCGCAAACAGCTCTTATCCATCGCCGAGGCTATCTACATCCACCATCTGAAGCCGGAATTATGTATACAAAAACGATTCATACGGCCGATACTATTACCTTGGCCAACGGACACTGTTACTTAGTTATTTGGCGGTTATCTTTCCTACTTAATTACTTTGGACTACTGAGCTTTGTGTATGCATGTGTATTTAGTTTACTTGGTTTACCATCGCTATCTTTGTCTCAAGTTATCGATTTTGATCATTCAAACAGTCCAGAAGTAAATCCCAGCCCCAGTTGACGCTTACCCCACACTATCAGTGTTTTGTAAACGTTTGGGTCCGATGAGAGTTACCAAAAAGAATTCTTCACCCGGAACTGATTTCTGATATTGAATCACTGTAAATCTCACACGATACAGAGATCTCTATTACACATCGCAATCACAATCGGTGAGTCCACCTACCGAACCATGGCTTCTAGAGCTGGTGATTACCTCACTTGATTCATTATTTGTCAAGCTACTGAATCAAAGGCCGAAGAAGAGAACTATCGAACTAAGCCACTTCATCGGAACGAGCAGACAGATCGTGTCGTCGTCCTCGGGGTTCTTTTTATTTCCCCTAGTCGTTGTGAAACTATATTGGCTTCGTCAGCCTCGTTAACGGTTAGGCTCCAGATTAGTAGTAAAGCTGTCCATCGGGGATCAATGCACCCCAACTTTGAGACCGTGCTCTTATCCCAATATGAGATATCCAAAGAAGTGCGGAACTAACCTTCGTTACAGCTTCGAGGGGCGAGTGCCACTCAACGTTTTTTCTGTAGCAAATGGATGTCCACTCTGTTCCCATACTCCGAAATTTTGCGACTTTGTGGAACGCACACTAGTCAATAGCCTAAGTTTCTGTGTGAACTGTCTGTGAATTGTTTATCTACTGTTGGATTTGTTTTCTCTTTGTACTCGTATGTTCGCATGTTGGTTGCCCTTGATGGATTTCTACTCGATATTTTCATGCCCTTGGAATGTCGGTGCAATCTCTGAGTTATTTTTCCATACTAAATATGCAGTACCATTCGTACGTTTATCGGCTAAACGCGCAGGCACTCACTAGAACTGCACGTTCTTATCAGAGGCTTAAGCTCTGTGACGTAGTTTAACTGATTCACCCGGGAAGCAGTTCTGACCAAAGAGTACGTAGCGCCGGTAGCTTTCATCTATCCTGTCTTCACAAAATTCACCAAACCTTTTGATCACGCATCTAAACCATGCCCTTCGTGCTCATGATCGAATTTAATTGTATCCAATATACTCCTTGCTTCCTCATCAAAAGCATGCCGAAACCTAACTAACTGGCCATCTGCAGGACAGTTGTTCAACGGCGTCAGTATGACGAAATCCGTCCACTTCACTTTCCACAGTCGCACTTGCTGGAGTTCTGATCGGGAATTTTTACACCTTATCTGATGTTTAGTTTAGTTAAACCAGTATAGTCTAATTGTCTCCACCCAAGTCGCCAGGATAGCAACAATTAACCGTGGTGATGAGGAAGATGAGGTAGAACACCAATAAAATATGGAATGAAATTGAATTAGGAAAAGTATACAAAATTAATATGGATGGAATATCAATAGCTGGGTGCAGTAAACCGGATTCAGGAGCGCCACGACTGTGCTGTATCAGATTTGGTCTCCAACGACTGATGTAGTCGATGTAGTCAATGCTGCCCATCCACAGAGACAGCACATGCAAACCTCATTAAGTTTCAGTTAATTTTCTCACACTTTTGTGTCACATCATCAATATTGGCCAACTCGCGGTTTTGCCTAACGACAATAACTCTATATGATACACACCGAGGAAGGGGATCGATGAACCTCCGGAATCCACGGCTTAAACAGCGTAAGCTGTTTTAGTATTACAGACGCTGCAGTGCGGCGCTGTGTTTTTTTCCGGAGACTAACTCGCTAACTTCAGTACTACCAATCAATACTAACATTTAGGAAAAATAGCGCGCAAGCATCGATGACCAAAGACGATCCATCTCTTACTTTCTTCTCCGCGAAGTGACCGTGTTTCTGATCTATACAGCAACACCGATTGTACTGCGGCATTGCATATTCTTCCCTTGACTGCTAGGTTTTCTTCATAACATTTTAATGTCCACCTGGGCTTCGCTGATGTTTGAAGCAATCTCAGGGACCAATAAAGGTAATGGAACTACCGCGGTAAGTAAACCGATCGATCCCTTCCAGGGGTTGTTCTGTGATAGCTGGATTTGGTGACTGTCGACCCAAGTCTGCAGCAATATATTGTGCTCTAGAGGTGCTGAGACGTACAGCGCTCTGTCTACATCTACTCGGGAGCGGGACAGTAGCTTGCATATTTCTCACTTCCAGCTAACGTGTCGAATGATCATAATGACCCAGGAGCGCTTAAAAAGAACCTGAGTTAAATCAAATGATAACTGTCGTCAGCATACTCTAATTTTTGTCAGTCGACTATCCAGCGGTATCTCCAAAATAACGGCTTGATCGTTTTGATCACAAATCTGACAAGCAAAAGGAAGCTAGAGCAAATTTCCTTAGCCTATTAGTCAGTATCCTGTAGCAGCAGAGAGCTCCGTTGTACGTCCATGGAGCTCCGTAACTTGGTGCGGTCAACAGTCATCACAGTTCATGCACAAAGTGTAGATGTGTACTCATCGTTTCCTCGATGGCGGTTGAAACCAATGGACAATTTTCGGATGACCAGCTCTTATAGACGACTTGCACAATGTATTAGTGAAACCGGGAGCAAGAAACCGTCCCAACCGACTGGAGTTGCTTCCTTATTGTCCCGATCTTCAAGGAGGTTCGTGTTCGAATGCCGCCGTAACGGCGCTTCGCTGCCGCGCGACTGTCACCAGTCGTGTGTGCGCTGAGTATACCGCGAAGACGCACGCCCCTACGCGAATTCAAACCGGTGACCCTCTGATTGATACTACCACAATCGCTCTTGTTCCCTCATCACAAGGCGCCAAACGCTTATGCCCAGTGACAGCAGACCTATCACTCCCAGTCAGACATTTACTGTTATCTTCAGCGTCTGGTTTTCTGTTGCGTCTTTTAAACATAATGCATTTTGGTCGGCCGCATCTTTTTTGGTCTATGCTCCGTACACTTAAGCCACCACTGTGTTAGCCTAAATTTCATCTGATTTGCTCCTTCTGCTTGCCATATGGATACACGAACTGGCACTCTTTTATTCAGACCGAAGGGCTCCTAGACACGTTGTTTAATTTGACCTCATAATTAATCAGTGTTCTACGTTTACACTTAGGTGACCCAATTGGAGCATGAACTTGCTCGCTGTTCAGATGAAAAAGAAGAACTTGCCTCAGAACGAGATGTTTATCGCAACAAGTGCGATCGTTTGAACAACGAGTTAAATTACATTCTAAATGGTAATGAGCACAAAATAGTGGACATCGATGCGCTGATAATGGAAAGGAAGTGAGTTTTCATATATTTTTAGTGTCACTGAATTTTTACCCATTCCAATGAACATGGTACCACTTTGGCATCTTGTACTGTTTCTTCACCAATAGAAGTAAAACTTGGGGCTGCATAGAATTGCACTATTACCGCTACGTTCACCGCGACATGATTACTTCATAGAGAGCCCAGTCACCTAATATCCAATGTATCTGCAGCGCAAGCTCTTTTCGAACTTTATTTCTTATCCGACTGTGTATGTTGCCATTCGAGGCAGTCTAACTCGGGAACGGCCATTTCGCACTTGCTCTCTTGTTTTCCTGCACAAGAGTGTGATGTGGACAGTCACCTTTCGTCAGTTATTTCGGCATGTATTTAGGTGTTTACTCCGTCACGACACCAACCTGGAATGTGAGTTCGAATGGAGAACATTTTGGACGACTACTCTGTGACTCGAACACGGTGAATTTATCACCCAATCCACCTGACATGCCTGAGAAATGTGGCATTTTCTCGCACTCTCACGACTTCTGATAGTACATGTATCATCTCTCTTATACCTACCTCGTCATTTATTTATGCTTTTGCTCGTTAGTCTGGTTTGCTTAGATAGATAGGGATGATTCTATGTGGCATCTGATCCACCTCCGGCTGACACATACTTGCATGACCCAAACCAATATGGGAATGGGACTCGATTAATAGTACAGAACCTTAAGCATAGTGGCGTCTTTGGAAACCAGTTATTGCTTCGCTATCCTCGTCCACATCCATGGTCTCTGTCCCACCAGATCTCTCAAGTACCGTCTCCAGACTGTCGAGGAAGAACGCAAGTTGGCGCTGGCTACTCTATCAAAATATCAGGTGAGTACAGACCTCGATGCACTTAGCCAGGCGATTTAAGATGTACGAATGATGAAAAGTAAAGCATAGCATTGCTTTTGTTTTCCATTCTTTATTATTTTGTTTTCTTAATGCTAGAATCTTTTGTGGAATTACCCTGTGGCTACTATGACCGCTATTTCTTCTCTTTAGCTTACCAGTTGAATGCTGATGATATAATCGATAGACGCTTTCATTACATTGGCGCCCGGGGCACTGATACTGACATAAACGACTTAGCTTTGCTGGTGCCTTGCTTCGTATCCAAATACACTCAACCCTTCGCGCACACATCTATCGCTTTGGTTATCTTATGGTGAAAGCAAGGCATCAGAAGTACGCCGGTACGCAGTACTGAGGCTTCGCTGCCGCGCAACCACTACTGGTCGCACATGGGCTAAGGATCCTGCGAGGGTCGCCCTACCCCTACGCAGGCTCGAATCCGCGCCGCCAGACTACAAGATGAGCCTCTAGGTTACGGGTCGGAATAATTATCGTCAGCTGTAAGTCGTAACGGCGCTTCGCTGCCACGCGACCACCAACAAGCGCGTGGGCTGAGTATACCGTGAGGATGCACGCCCCTACGTGTATTCGAACCGGTAACCTTATGATTGCAAGCCAGTCGTGTAGAGCACTCGGCCACCAGCCGGTGATTACTTTATGAGCTAAAGTGAAGCATCTCTTCTCTGCTCCATCTTGCATGTGGTCTGGACTTTCTCCTATTGATGTTTGCTCATTTTGGAAGATTAGAATTCCAGTATTTTTGCATAGGTCGGTTACTGCGCCGCTGATGCTTCCTTCACACATTGGAGACACCCTCATCCGCACTACACCACATCGGCGCAGTCGGAGACGAACAGATGAATCCAGAGAACTGCTTGGCATGTCAGAGATACACACTTGGGATACCTGATGTGTTTGTAATCATACCACTCCACACCATCGAGTTCCTTTAGCTACCACACAACCCTGCATTGACCGCTCAAGTTTTTATCTTTTCTACACAACTTCTCAGGTACGCTTCTTTCCGTTTATTTTCTTATTACTCTGTATCGTCAGAGCCACAGAATCTACCTCTAATGATATGTTATTGGGTTGAGTTGAATTGAATGTGATGGATGTGTTAAAGCGGAGAGATTTTTCACAAACGTTACATTCTGCATACACCTTGTACTCAATGGTTGATGATACATCTTGAGCCAGTTGAAATGCTATATGCACATTGTATTTCTGAACCTATTACTGTACCATTGAACCCTGGTATCATTGATTCGTTGCGTCTGTCTGGAAATACTATCAAACCCTTTGCGAAATAAGCATAACTAACCTCTAGTAGTTTTAACACTCGGAAATGTTATTTTCTTACCATCACTGCGATGAGACTTCGACAACATGGCCGGATGATGGAAAGTGCGAGAGTTGTCACCGTATGCTCCATTGTTTTAGCCTAATTACAAAGACTAAAGTCAGTCGACAAGCCCACGGGGTAGAGCCGGAGCTTTGGTTACATACCTACCACTGAATATTAGTAGCACCGTCTCTGTCAATGAAATCCTATTTACGAATCTACTGTCTGGCCAGAGAGGTCGACGAATCGCGGCCTCGGGGAACGACTCCCTCAGCACTACCGCATCATTGCATTGAAATCCATTTGTACAACGCGAAACAGTCATACGTTAGGATATTAGACGATAAGCATAGAGACCGAAACTTGAGCATTGTTATGCGAAGGCAATGCACCATGCGGTGACGTTGTGGCAGGAACTTCCGCTAAAACACAACTGCAAAGCTTGCAAGGCTGAAGGGACCGATAACAATTAGTTTCGTATTTTACGAACAAAATTTCATTTTAAACGCAAAACAAATTGCTATAAAATTTCATAGAAACACCAAAGAAACTTACTGCAACCAAGATTTCCAAAAAGCGATTATGGTTGTATGTCGATGCGTCTTCATTGGTGTAGTTATGAAATTTTGAGTTCTCCGCCCATTCCGAGTAGATTAAGAATACAGTGACGAAGAAGTACTTGACGTGAATGGTTTCTCAATCCTCCCGTTTGGTAGGTACGATCAGCAGCAAGAATGAACTCCTATTTCCTCCTTGTTTGGTTTAAATATTTCCCTGCTATCAGAGCATTGATTTAAAATGTATCCCAAGTTCACCATCGGCGTGGTAGTTTTAAGGTCAGCAGATGTAGAATGCACACTTCTACATCGGGTAGTCCATTGCTTCGAACACCTTAACACCTTGGTACAATATTTCACGAATCCATCGACATTTATCTCTTGGTTCTTGGTTAATACTTTAGCTTGTGCTCCTGATGTTTAGATCCGACACGTTGGATTTCGCCACGTGTTTTCTCATTCTAGGCTGCAACCCGGTCACTAGACACCAGACTGATCCACCTATAGTGGCTCACTTTCGGGTTCCGAGCTGGAGTACCATTCGAAATGCCTTACTTGCAAGCGTATGCCTGTCGGCTTTCCAAATATTTTGTCAAGGTGTCACCACTTGTCTAGGACTGACAAGTGCGTAACTGGCTACACAAAATTGTTTCCATTTCTCTTAGCGACGTAACCTCTGGAAACGTGATCACTTTTTTCGTGTAGAGTTCGAGCGAGCGCGTTCGGATTGTTGTAATGGCATCGGCAATAAGTCGGCATACCATGCACCGACACTTCACTGCTACGCGACCAACAAAAGACGCGCGTAGACTAAGTGTACCGCGATATCGTCCGCACCTACGCGAATTCGAACCGGTGATCGCCGGATTACAAGACAAGTGCATTATCCTTTCGGCCACCAGCCAACCTGGACCGTGATAAATCAGATGTAATTTTAATGCATCCGTCCCAGCAGCTCGTAAGCTACATAGTTCAACCGCAATCCGGAAAACCACCAGACGAGTTACGCCCCAAGCTGCCGAATCCAACTGATCATGCCATGGAACATGTTATTTTTTCCACTTTTGTGCCTGCTTTACGATTTATCTGCTTCAATTATACTTCCAGTGACCAACTGACGGAATCTCAGTTTAAAGTAATCCGCGATCCAGATTGAGAGTGCGTGTCATAGTCTCTCCACACAACGGGAACTATAAACGAATGGCCTTAAGTCATCGCTGCTCCCTCATTTGCCTTGAGAAGCGCTACTACATTAGTCTATATTTTCTAGTCGACGGCACGTACCCTCTGTTGTACCGCCCCCAAACGGTTCAACCCCGCACGGAAATGAAAACGCCAAGACCAGCCGGACAGACTTCGTATTGTATAAGAGCATAGCGGAATAAATAGGTTGAAGGCAGCTACTAAACACAACATCGGATACGCTGACTAATATCTAATAACACAACTCAAAACGGTTCAAGTTCAGCGTCCAGTTTGCTGCTGACCCCACACAGATTCGCGTTTGACCTCTGCTTGAGTCAAATCTCCAAATCCAATCTTGCGCCATGGCTCTCGGCTTGAACACTGGCTGTAAGCTGGCTCACCGTAACACCTCTCTCGCGCAAATTAACGTACGACTTCCATCTTGGGTCCAGCTGCAGTCGGATGACGGGTCTCCGTACCCGATCAGTCCACCACCGTGGCTACAAGTTCTTTCTTTTTGTGGCCACTGGTCAATGCCCGTTAGCTCTCCTGGGTCCCAGGGTAAGTGGTTTACCGGGTGCAGAACTCCTTTTCTCTCTAAGCAGTCAAGATCCTGGTCAACCACTGGTGTTGCTACGTAAGGTATAGGGCGTCTTATGCGAAGCACTGGAACGGCATCGGGCTTAAGGGACAGAGAGGCTTGTATCTTCGTCTTGCACTCTATTCTGAACAGATTGTACAATTGGCTGGGTAGGTCGTTGCACAGATTTGCAGACCCTTGCATTTCGGTTCGCAGGCGATTTCTCCGTCTAGAGACAAGGGGCCTCCTGATGCGTTTTGACCCTTGCGGAATGCGGCATGAATCGCAGTGGGGGCTTCTGATTCGGCACGTTTTTTATTCCCATTTTGGCCTCCATTAGCTGTGTAGCGAATCTGGAGTTCACTTCTGGCATTCGAATTTTCACCATTTTTTGCGTCTAATCCCAAGTTGAACAGCTTGTAACATTCATCCGTAATGTCCTCTGACGTCAGTTCTAGTTCTATTTCCAATGCTGCTTGAATGTTCAACTTCCGTGCCAACAACTCTGTCCATTGCTGCTGTGATTCTTCGAACACTGATTGCTGGAACTGAAGGAGCGTCTGCATATGCTCGGAAAAGATGGTTGTACACTGGAGCAACAGTGTTCTTGATAGGGTCTCGATCGTTCGCAGCTGTTTGGCCCCGAACTGCTGCTGCGGTTGTAGCAAAATAGCGTTCAGATCTTCTGCTGAGATGTACATCTTGATTAAGTTTGCCCTCCGTCGCCAGAATCTGTTGTGCCGCCCCGTCTGCTCAGACCGCGACGAAATTAGAACACCAATGACCAGCCGGACTGAGGGTTCTTTTGCATGGGAACATAACGGAATAAATAAGTTGTAGAGCAGTTACTAAACATAACGACATCGGAGGTGCTAAGTGATATCAGTTAACACATTCCAAAACGGTCCAAGTTCAGGGTTCAACTTCCTGCTGACCCAACATAAATTGGCGTTCGACCTCTGCTTGAGTTCAATCTATAAATGTAGATCGATCCAAATTTCTGCCACGGCTCTCGGCTTGCACACTGGCTCCCCGTTACACCCACCGGTTTGATTTTTTTATACATTATACATTTATGCGAGCGTGGTTCATCCTCCAATTATCAACGAAGACACTTGGCCGGTATATATGTCACCTTTGTTGGCGTTAGTCGTGTTCCGTTTCCAAAGGATGCAAATTGCTATGGCGCTTATACACTACATCACCTGTTTCTTCCATCACTGATTTCACGGTTTCGCATTTAAAAGCCTGTTTGCCTGTCACCGCTCAACTGTAGGTCACTAGCCGTGCCCGAGACGACGCATCGTTGCACACTTTGTCAGACTCTGAAGTTGTGCTGTTTGACCTTAATATTTTCCACTTTTTGCTTATCACTATGAATGCCTTTTCCATCTGTCGCAGAAACTCGTGGAGCGTAGGTCTTCGCAAGCCCCTTCCACCAGCAGCAGTGATTGTCCTTGTACCCCCTCAGAATCTCCACGACATCAAGGTGAGTACTATCACGGTTTTGGTGCTTTACAATTGGTTAGGGACCAGGTACACCGATGTGAGTAAACTTACTTTGCGAAGTCATCGGGCACACGCAACTAGAGACAACACGCGCCTGGGCGCTGTCTCTGTAACTGTGTGGCCGATAGATGCCGGCGTTTACGTTCCTTGAATACTTCACCAAATGATGCAAATGTTGAGACAGTGCAAGTGACTGTATCAGCACTGTGCCCTACTCGGTCCGTAATACGAAACGGGGTGGTCAAACTCGCTCACTATACGCTACCATCTCCTGCCTGTGGTAACTGGGCACAGATTCCCCCCACCTCTCCTCCGCTACCACAGAACGTCATCTTATCCATTACGATAGTGTGATGAGAGTGTGGTGTATCTTACTCTTGTGGTAACAGGAACAATCACTCACTGTGTTATCCTGTCTAGAACCCACCGTCTATCTGGATACATTTGTTGCAGTACCTCTCCCAACAACCCCACCGCGAAAGCATAAAAGTAACAACGCATGTAGCTTACCCACAACGGTATCAGAAAACAAAGGCAAATGGATTCTTTCGTTTACCTTTCTCTATCATATATATGTATATGTTCATGTAGATCACCCTTTTTTTAAAAATCCCCAGTCACTTGTCAAGCACCAGAAATGATAGGCAACGCCGCAGCGGTGCTCGTAATGCCGTGCGAACTAGTGACCTGGCGGTTGCACGCTGAGGACATTAAGAGATTTCTTCGTACGCATGCATGTGCTTTACATTTATGCAGCCAACCATCACCAATAAAAAACCACTAGAAATGGTCCATCGTCAGCTTACCTCTCCGTTGGCCACTTCCCTGAAGATGCTTTGGCACCTATTGCTAAAGCTCGTATGGATTTCCAGAGTTTAAGCCATCACGCTAAAGCCCGGATGTAAACGCAGCGATTGTAGCATGAATTTACAATACGTGATGTGACCAGTGTTAACGTATGGATCGGAGACCTGTCCATCACATGCTCAGAATATTAAGATACCGGTCGTGTTTGCATAGTTTTGATCGCGTCCTGTGGAGGAACGGACCGAGACTTTCGTCATGTGGTGTCTAGTAACAGGACAGGGCCTCGCTAAAGCACATTTTGAATTCCTAATCAGCCTTGTGCTTTGTATGCTGTCGAATCAGCTGCCAATACTGCACATGGGTGAATTCCACAGCTAGTTACTCAGTGAAATGGCAGCTGAGTGCGGAGACCCGTCCGTCGCAACGAAACTGGTCCTTGACGTCGTGCGACGGTTTGCGTGCCTCCTTGACCCATTCAGCTATACTGGGTGGCGCCTCCGGGCCTCTTGAGAGCTACTCCTACCACGTTGGTCAACGGTTAGAGATCAGATAAACTCAGTCTCCTGGTTCTCCAGATTTGGGGTTGAAAATGGTATGGCGTCCATTTCGGTAAAACTTAACCATTGCCACTCAGCTGCCTTGCGGACAGGCTTTTGAGCCAAATGCTTTGGTTGAAAACCCTAATCGTCCTCCTGTCTAGGTCTGGGCGCCCTGGCAGTATCTTAGCCCACATACAACTATGACTATTTCCTCAAACGTCACCTCCTGCATCGGCCGTCGCGCAGCTCATCAAGGGTCGCCTTATCCGCGGCGTACACCTGGCAGGATAAGCGAAAACATGCTACTGCTGGCGTCTCCCTTCTTTCTTCTCCAATTCATTCTCTTACTCTCATCCCGACCCCCATCACTAACCTTCCTTCTATAATTTCCAGCTTAATTGACAGCAACCGAAGTGCCACAGGAGTAGAACCATCTGCAGCCACCTTCCCATAATACCCACCGAACGCTTATCGGGAACAGTCCATCATAAGGCCACGATGTCCAGTTTCCCTGGAGGCGTTCAACGTTCGCACTCTAAGCCGGATAAGTCAACAGGCTGCGCTCGTACGTACGTTAGACACATTGGGTATTGACGCCTGTTGTATGTCCGTAACGAGGATCAGTGACCCTCATGGGGTTGAGTTAACTGTATCCGCCTTGTCCTATTGATTGCACACAACTGCAGACGCTGATGCGGCACTCACGGATCAAGCTGGAGTAGGCATCATTCTCAACTTCTAAGCTGATCCATCATTGGTTAATTGGATTCCGGTGAACAGCCGTTCGACGCTATCAACTAAGGTTGATTCACAAAGTAGTACAAAACGCTGTTCGGTTGTGATTTCCGTTTATGCTCCCACCGACTGCAGTTCAAATGCTGCCAAGGACACATTCTACCACCAACTGAACGCACTACTACACAGTACTACTAGTTCAGATGTTATAATACTTGCAGGGGATATGAACGCACGAGTAGAGTGTCTGAGCTCTTCTGAAGCTCACCTGTAGTAAGTATGGGATTAACTCCGAAAGAACTGACAATGGTAAGCATCTGCTGAAGTTGTGTGCGGAGCACCAGCTGTTTCTTAGTAGCACTGATTTTAGACACGGCAGGCGCCGAAGTTCCATTTGGCATCCTCCTGTAGCTGGACAGCGGTGGACCCAAATTGTCCACATTGTCAAAAGTTACAGGTGGCATGGATCCATGCTGGATTGCCGCTCGTTTTAGAACACTTGCGACAATTCCGGTAATGTCTTTGTACGCTGTCCTTTCCATATGAACTTTACCGGGAGGCGCACCAAGCGTCTCTCCCGATTGGCAACTACAAGCTTTACGCTACTCACAAACATCATAAGTTAACTAAGAAATTGTCTTAGCCATCGGTCATGTAAGCCTATCAAGACTCACTGCTTACCGAACTTTCTCTGTCTTGTGCTAATGACATTGAGCTCCAGTGGAATAGGATCTCGGCCACCATACACGATGAAGGAGCCTCTGCTTGTGGCACTGTCAATCGTCACGGTAGCAGTCACTGCATATCCGATAGGTCGGTGAACATGTTGGAATCCAGAAGAAAACCCTCGATTGGCACTGAGTACAAAGGGCTATTAGGTGCGAAATAAAGCAGAGCCTGCGTGCTGACAAGGAAGCCTGGTGGACCAGTTGGGTTCAAGAAATGGGGGAGGCAGGAGCAGTAGGCAATTACTGGAAGCTCTTCTAGCTGATCCACACCACTGGTCTTAGGAAACCAGTTGTCAGTGAGACAATCAGATACAGTGCGTTTGCACTGATATACATAAGGCGCCGTATGGCTCGTTAGGCGGAACACTTTCAAAATCAGTTCAGTTAAGCACCTGCTCCCGGACCTCTTCTTACTCAAGTGATGCAGTATGAGCCATGGACGGTTATTTTAGTTGTTCTATCGGAGGCTGAGGTCCGAAACGCGATCACAGCCCTCAATCATTTTCGTGCTGTTGGCGCGGATTCCCTACCACCTGCAATATATGAGGATGGAGGTGAGGTCCACTGCAAAGCACTGCCCTCCCTTTAGAATATGTATGGAAAAAGGAGACTGACCAGGGTAACTGGAGTGAATCGATTAGTGGCAATATACAAGAAGAGTAGTCGCACGGACTGTGTTAATCACAAGGGTATTAGCCTAACGGCAGTTGTGGCAAAATTATTCGCCTCGATTCTTGTTTATCGCCTTACTGTTAAGTAGGGAAGAGCAGGCAGGTTCCCTCCCAAGGTGTGCCTGTATAGACCCATATACTCACTGAAGTCAGTTAACGCATTGCAAAAGCCAGAACTGACTTGTTGAACCTGCGGCATCTTTGGTGACAGAAGGGTGTTTCTCTCCGTCTGAAAGGCCGTGTTTGTAAGGCCACAGTGAGGGCCGTCCTGCAATATGGGAGTGAGACCTAGCCACTTGGGTCTGATGATCTGAGGCGTCATTAAATCTTTGATCACCGTTGTCTGAGGAGCAGTGCTGGTATCGTGGGGCACGAGCGTGTCCGCAACAATGAGGTGCGTAAGCGAGTACTAGGTAGTGATAACCAAGCTAGTTCCTTAGAACAACAGATTGCACTGAATCAGTTGCAGTGGCTTGGTTACCGCGTACCTTGGAGGGCCTTGTTTTATTTGCCGGACATATGGTCGCGCAATGCTCGAGGTGGACAAAAGTTGACTTGGCAGTGGGAAATGAAGTCACTGACGACCTAACTCGGTGCCGTCAGCCCGTCTCGCCTTCCGGGCTGGAGTCCACATGCACACCTTGTGAATACAGCATATGACTCGCAGTCGACACCAGTAGCGCCTTTGGTGCCGTCTCCTAGTCCGACTGCCTGTTTGAAGTGTTTGGTGCTGAGCTGTCTGCGCCGTAATGGCTGATTATGACGCGAGGCGATGAAAGCCGCAAAGCAGCTGTCTCGCCGATGCCACCTTATCTTTGCACGATAGCCAGCTGTTTGTATGTTATTAACACAAGGTGTAGGCGCCTTGACCCTGAATGTTTGCTTAGGGCATTAAAGTTTTCTGGTAAGTCCCATTTCTTTCCATAACTCATGTTGGTTGTAGGGCAGCGAAACATCGGTTCAAATGGTTGATGTACTGCTGTTGTTGATGTTGATGGAGACCCGTGGAAAACTTACGTAGGTGTGGTGCTTGCCGTTTTATTAGATGGAGTGCCAGGGATCGACTACCACAGCGGAAAGAAGCCTAATTGCATATAACGTAGTCGCGAACTCAGTTGCGCACTTTCATTTGTCGGCTTATTTCTGACTTTGTTATTTTTTCTGACGATTTTTATTCCTGTCCACTGATTTTAGATTATCGTTATTGTCACCATTACTAATAATCAACATGGCAGTAGGAGCCAAAGCGACTTGACCCATCCCACTTGGGTGCATGCATCATAACTGTCCGGTTGAACTAAGCCGAAATATACCGCGTATTTTTTTTCTTTCCCGTTATTCATGGTGCCTAAACTGTGACTAGCCACGAGCGAATGTGCATTCGTTGGAGCAGATATTGATTCCATACTCGAAAGCTGATCTTGATCACTTTGTTCTTTGTAGCTTGTGTCTGAGTTTATTTCAGTCCGATTGTACTCACCCGTCTCCCTCTGGTAACGACAGTAGTTCCAAACTCTAACTGGTCCTGTTTATGAGCCACACTCCGTCCACGAATTCCCGTTGCTGAGTTCCGACTATTTAGCTCCATGTATTGATCCTGTTCGTTGATACGCCGGATTTCTTTACTCCGCCTTTGGTGCTTTACTACATTTGAACGATTGGTGCATCCAAGTGCAACTTCCGTATTTGTATCAGTTTTTGTTGTGCCAGTAGTGACCTCAGTTGCTACTTTTACTTTCTAGCACATTTTGACTTGAAAAATGGCACCCACATTTTAAGAGTTTATGTTTGTCCTTTTTACTCCGCAAATCTGTCTAGGTGTCCCTCCCTTACTGCACCTCGGCCATTGTGCGATTCATTGCACTAGACTGCGATCAATGGGTCGGATGTCAGTCACGCCTCTGAACGCGCTTTAGGCTGGAGATAACCACTATCAACAACTTGGCTGGTATAATTGTACTTATCGATTTCTGTGACCAATGAAATCGCCACTTTTTGTTTGGAGATACTGCGACTTAAACACCCCGTACTTGTATAACTCTCGCACAAATAAC